TAAAAAGTGATCGAATTGGAGAATGATGTCTGAATCAAAGTTGTAGCCAGATGAGTTAGCTTTCCAACGCATTTTGAATCGCCTCAATCGGATATCGGAATACAAAGTTATGATAAAAATACTGAAAGAAGGTACAACTGCCTGTTTAAAACAAGAAATTCCGTTACATAGTCCGTTAAAACAACAAATTCTGTTAGTTTTTCGTTAAAAACAAGAAATTTCGTTACATAGCCACTTTTAATATATAGAAGATATTAATATTTTAATTGTTATTCATTGGGAACATTTGTGTTATTTGCTATGAAGGTGATAAGAGTAGGACAAAGAACTCCGATTGTAAGCATCCTCGTAGAAAATAGCACAAGAAATTTCATAGTTCATACATGAGCAATACATGGGCAATGCATGGACCTTGAAAATTTTGAAAATCAAAGCAACAAATAGAGAGAAAATACATGTAAGTTTCAATGAGGACATCAGATAGAGAAAAAAAATAAAATAAATTATCTCTAATAACTAAAGATTAATATATGTTACGAGTTACACGTTAAATGATTTGTTAGCTACGAAGATGTACAAATAATTCAAGTGGTAATCAGAAAATGTGTTACTTGCTTTGAAATGATTATAAAGTTTGCATTATATTACAAATATTTACAAAGTGTACTTGAGTGTTGTAGTAATTCAAACTCGATATGATGTTCCTTTGAATCTAAAATATAGTAGTGGGAAGTCTTTTATGCAAATATGTATAGTTTAAGCAAAAATAAAACGTGAATTTATAATAACTTTACATAAAGCTGAAAAAGTGGCGGAATGTTTACATAATTATGTGCAACGTATGTGTACAATGAATCGGTAAGATATAAGTCATAAACATAATATCGTTTGATATTTGGTCTTATATTGAACTATTCAGTTATTTTTGTCAAAACGAAGAAAGTTTAATCGATCTATTTATAAAAAGGATTATGAAGAATTTTTTCTTTTCGTTTTTTCTGAAGATAACGAATCAAACGCATACTCATTAAGATGTACGGCCTCGAACTATAAACTATAGATCGGAAAGAATACACCGAATTCAACTTTCATTTATAATACGTGCTAAAACAACTTATGTATGAATCACCATATATGGACATACCCTGCCACATACATCTTGCAATAGAAAAATAAAATAGAAAGAAATTTCCAGCATTATGCGTGTAAAAAAAAAAAAAAAAAAAGAGACGGAAGCTG